CGTGCGCTGCGCCCCCGCCCCGGAGCCCGTCCTCGCCGCGCCGCAGCGGGATGTTGGCAGCGTCGCGCCCGGGGCTCTGAGACACAGCCTCTGACACGTTCGCGTTCCTTTCTTTTAGGGCTTTTTTAGGGCTCCTGGATACTGATGTGACCCCCTCCGTCTTTTGGAATGATGGGGATCTTTTTGGCGTATGTTGGATTTGTTTTCTTTTCCGTTTCGTATGTACAGCAGGGGCTTTCTTCTCAAGGTAAGTCTGTGCTCATTGGCAAAGATGTGTACATCTGCTTGCGGGGCTTGTGTGTGTGTGCGTGTGGGTGTGTGTGTGTGTGCCTGTGTGTGTGTGCGCGCCTGTGTGTGGGGGTGTGCGTGTGTGGCCAGGCAGATGTTGAGATTCCTAGCAAGTAACATTGGAATAGTGTTCTGTTTGGCCTTTTTCTTTAAAGTTTATGAAATAGTAGGCATGCTAGATGTGAGAGCACATCTAGTTGGTGCCTGACAGTGAGGTGGGTTCCTCACTGAGCACAAACACGGATGTGTGTGTGTGTGTGTGTGCGTTTGTGTGTGCGCGTGTGTGCGTGTGCGCGCACGCGTGCCTTCTGTGTGCATGCACAGGGTAACCACTCACGCATACATAATCATCGCAAACAAACAGGGACTCTCCTCCGCCAGTGCTCCTGCTCCATCCAGGCAGCGCGGGCTTAGACTTCCCTTTTCCCGGGGCCTGTGACTCCGTTTGCATGCGTGCTTATCAAAGGACAGGCTCCTCGAGGACCCATGACAAGGCACGGCTTGCATTCCAAGCAGCCGCAGCAGCCTGTCGAATCCAGTTGTTCGGGACTTCGCAGGCTGCAGAGCTCGCTTCAGCACCACGAACAGATCTCGATCCCGCTGCCAGACTGCATCACTTCTGGAGCACGGACGCCCTCCTCCTCCTTCCCGCCGGAACAAATGAGCCTTTTCTCTCCCCCATCAGAATGTCTTCTGCGCATCTCCCGTCTCCTCTAAGTATAAATCCAGTTCCATTTCAATGGCGGTCATTAGGGATTTCATAACATTCGTGAAAAGGTCTCTTTTCCGACGGTCTCTCTTTTTAAAGTGGGGGAAGGTGCATCCACCCTGAGCCAGTCTTGCAGCCCCTTCGGCCTTATTCTCCGTGAGTGTGCACTGTGCTCCCGCCCACCCCCCCAACAACCACACATCTCTCTGACACCACTTTTTGGGAATCATCAGCTCTTTCCAAACTGTCCCTTACACAAGATAAGCGACCATCCAGAGCATTCCATATTAAAGAAATGCCTCGGGAGAAAAAGAGCACATCTTATTTTTGCAAGTTTTCTCATGACTCCATGAATCTTGCAAACTAGGAGGGTCGGGGCTGGTGATGAAAAGATTGAAAAAAAATATCTCTAGTGACTTCAACTCAATCTTTGATCCGAACTAAGTCCAAGTATGTGATTCTCGCATCCCGTGCTGCACGCCAGTTTACAATGCAGGGGCTTGTCTGGGGCAAGTATGGAGGTGGATTCGGAGAGAAATGTTCACAGCTCAGAAATTGTGCAGTTTGTTTCGCTGCTGTAGCGTTTGAATCACAATTGCTAATCATTGTTTTTCTAGCTCAGGAATGTGCATTTTGACAGGTAATCATGATCCGTTGCCTATTACATGAACTATCCAATTATCACAGATTGTTCAGGAACTTGGAAGGCAAGAGGCTCTCCTCATACATCAGCTTGATGGATTTGTCTAAAACGCACCCCGCTAAAATCCCCCAGTAAATTTGGGGGACTACTGCAGTCTGACAAAAGGTATTTGCTTCTAACCGGCAGCTTGGCTAATAGGAGGAGTTATTGGCGTGACACAAATAAGACAGGAAAGAGGCAGAGGCAAAGGGGTCGGGAAGCCGAAGTGCGGGATGTCACAGAGGGAGTTCTGTTCTTGAATGTTGAAGTCCAAGAAAAATGTAGCGAGCTCTCATTTTAGATATTCTAAAAGGACGCGTTTCTGTTTTACAGCAAAATTTACCGAGTTTCCGCGGAACGTGACCGCGACCGAGGGGCAGAATGTGGAGATGTCGTGCGCTTTCCAGAGCGGCTCCGCCTCCGTGTACCTGGAGATCCAGTGGTGGTTCCTGCGGGGGCCCGAGGACCTGGAGCCCGGGGCCGAGGTGGCGGGTGCGCAGGTAGCGGAGTCGCGTCGCCCCCACGCCCCCTGCGTGCGTCCCACGCTCTCCCTCCGTCCGCCGGGTGTCCAGCCCAACGCGGTGCTCGCGCGCCCCTCGGGAGCCGCCGGCTCTCTTGGCGCGAGTGACGCCCGGCGAGTGAGCCGGTGCGCGGCCCGGTGACTCTAGGTTAAAATCGAGGAGGACGTTCTGTCGAGTCTTTCTGGGGAAAGCGGGGGACAGCCTCCTCCTTTCGGCAGTGGCTACTGTCGACGCGTCCACGGGGGCCCTACTGTGTGGATGCGCCAGCCCAGGACACTCGCTGGCCCCTTTCTGGGCCGGCGGGGTGGAGGTGGAGGATTCTGGGGGGCGGGGGGAGAGGGGTCTCCTCTCCCCTCCCCCACATCTGTGGCCGGCAGAGGAGCCGGAGGAGCCTGAAGCGGGGAGGGGGCGCCGGGGAAGCGAGGGGAGGAGAGCGCTGGGGGCAGAGAAGGCGCTGGGGAGTGACGGAGGGGGCGCGAGGCG